CCTGCTCCTCTGATGCTGCTTGGCCTGCTGTGTTCATCCAGCTCTACACTTTGTTATCTCCTAAACTCATTTATTGGAATAACATTAGTAGCTTTTAGAAGCCTAGTAGAAACAAAGACTGAACTTAAGGCAAGTGCAAGCTATTAGCATTTATTAGTTATAAAGTAAATACAAGAGCACAGAATTGTTTCATTAGTGTGTTCTTTCATCAGGTCTCTATCCATTTGAACTGACATCATCGTTAAGATAAATCCTTACTGCATCCTCAGTGGCTCTTGTTAGACAACTGGTACAGTTAACCCTCTATTCCAAATCCACCTCTTCCCCTGCTATTACCCCAATCTCTCCCAAGTCTTGATTCCTATCTATTACACATCCTACAACTCCCAAAGAAAGCTTGAGTTTTTACAAATGTAACTAATCTCCCTGATCATATATTGAATTATTCAAGAAGAAATTGATGGTGTGTTTATTCCAAACACATTCTCTGAAGGTCTGCATTGTTTTTGTCTATTGTTATTAGTTGTGGAGTCATAGCTTCTTCCTGAGGATTGGGGTGTGCAGTCTATCGAGCTAACAGCTTATTTTTAGTTAAAATCAGGGCACTCCCGTTTATAACAGGAAAGGGAGGGAAATTAGGTTTGCAACCTGTAGCCCTTCAAAAGCTGTTATGGGTTGAAGCTATTCTACAATGGTGCGGGACCTTAGTTGAGCAGGAGCAAATGAGTTGTCATTCTTCTCAGGACTTATTTTTTGAAAATGGTATCCCTTCCTCTCTCTCAGCTTTGGCATTGATTTAAGGCTACCTGGGGGAACTTGTGATGTGGACAAATCCATATGGGGCTGCAGAGGATTGGAAATACGCATTAGCAATTTGTGAGCCATTGTCCAGGATTATGTGTGGAAAAAAAAATTCTCTTTAGAAAGGTTAAAATGGCTTCAGTGAATGTAGCTTTGCACCTTAACCCAATCGGAATAATAATTCACAAGGATGAGAAGGTCTATCCTGTTGAATCTGAGTAGGGCAATTCCACAGCATTTCCACATGCTGGTTATAAAAGTGAACGGCAGAAGCTGCTCTTTCTGCTCCTGTGTGTGGATGGTACAGGGGATGTAGTTGAAGATACGTCCTTTAGAAATCCAAGATATCTGACCACCGTCGTGATTGCTGTGGTCCAGCCTGACACTTGGACATACCAAGATATCACTTACTAACCTTCTGAAGGATGTCCAGCTGGAAAACACGAGGGTCAACCAACTGCTCATCAGAGACTAAGGGTTCAAAGTACGATTGTAGGACAGGGTTACTGGGAATAAAACTCTGGCCAGCCAAAACAGCATATGCGAATCCGCGCACATTCTTGATCCTCTCAAAATTCATGTAATTTTTTTTCCTGATGTTGGCAAATATTGAGAGTAAAAATTTCATCTTTTTGCTTTGGACAGTTGATGGATATTCTTCATAAAGTGTCAGCAGTAGTCTGGTATTTTCGTCAGACATACTCTGTAGCATCAGCTATATTTGAATTCTCTGGGATTAGTACAATATTTTTGCAAACTCTTTCATGTTCAGTAAAGTTACCAGCAGTATATGGTCAGTTTCAGTCTTAAAAGGTAAGCATCAGACCTAATTGGAAAATTTCTCAAGCGCACGTTGCCAGGAGTGTTTCTGTCTCGATCACTACATCTGACAGTTCCATTTGAGTGAGAAGCCTTGAAGATTGCAGACAGGTTTTCTGCTCTCATCACACTGTATTTGGAAGAAGACTGCTCTTCGACCTATGGAAGTCTGCTACAATAGTTGGAAGTTTGGAATCATAGTGTATTCGCACCTCCAAAGTTTTCAGCAACATTTTGATTCAATTGCCTTACTGCATTAGTCCAGCACCACACCTCATCATGCTTCAAACGTTGGCTGAGAGGTTGGTTTGCTTGGACCAAGGGCAAAGGAATTTTTTAACCTGGTTCACCACTTACATGAACTATTGGAGTTCTATAATATTCCTGTTGCTGGGAATTCCGTAATGGCTTTTGTGTTCTACAGGTCTCCAATGATCCCCTTTGCTCGATAATGCCCAACATCCTGAAGATTACAATTGACTAGAAACTGAATTGAACTACCCATATACAAAAAGTGGCCAAAACAGCAGGTCAGAGGCTAGGAATTCTGCAGCAAGTAACTTATCTCCTGTCATCCCAAAGCCTGTTCGCCATCTACAAGGCACAAGTTAGGAGGGTAAGGAATACTCTCCGCTTCCTTAAATGGATGCAGCACAAACAAGAAGCTCAGTACTATTCAGGGCAAAGCAGCCCACTTGATTGATACCCCAATCATTACCTTGTAAGTCACTCCCTCCACCAATGATGCACAATGGGAACAGTGTGTACCATCTACAAGATGCACTGCAGAAACTTACCAAAAGACTACTTCAACAACACTTTCTAAACTTGTGATGTCTATCATCCACAAGAGCAAGGGCAGGAGAACACCAGCACCTGCAAGCTCTCCCCCAAGTCATACACCATCCTGACTTGGAACGATATCGTTGTTCCTTCACCGTCACTGGGTGTAAATCCTGCGAATCCCTTCCCAGCAGCATTGTGGGTCTTCCTATGCCCCAAGACTGCAGCAGTTCAAGAAGGAACTCATCACCTTATTTTTGTTGAGTTGAACTTCTGTTGATCCAAAGATCAAAGTGTCATCCTTGTGACCTATGATGATTTCCATACCTTCACATATGTTTGACATCTTTCAGAAAATTTCTAATGCAAATGTGATTCCAAAATGTAGACGGTTTAAATAATCATGTCCAAAAACTGTTATGAAAGTGGGAAGAAGTTTGGACCCCTTGATTCAACGGATTTTGCTGCTGGTTGGGTCCAGCTTGGTGAAGATTGTGCTGTTTGCAAGTTTAACTAGTCTCTTATCTACAGAAGCCATTTGGTATACTCATTATCATGCCATGTTCATGTGCTTTGCACTAACTAAATTCTAATGGATCCATTCAGTTCAAGAACTGATACCACAAGAGAACACCACATGACCAGTTATATGACTGGAGAAATAACCCCTTGTTAGTATTGCTTGCCATTGTCAATCCAAACCAGGATATTGTCAGATATTGGTGCATTTGGAGAGCTTTAATATTTGAGAATTCTCAAATTGTGCTGTACATTGTGTAATCATCAGCAAATATCCCCATTTCTGACTTTACGATGGAGGTAAAGTAATTGATGAAGCTGTTGAAGATGGCTAGGCCTAGGACACGACACCAAGGAACTGTCTGGGGTTCTTGTGGTGCAGCGATAGTGTCCCTACCTCTGAGCCAGGAGGCCCAGGTTCAAACCTCACCTGCTCCAGAGGTGAGTGACAACATCTCTGAACAGGTTGATTAGGAAATCTTTACCCTGGGGAACTCCTGCAAAGATGCCATGGAGCTGAAATGACTGATCTCCAACAATCACAACCATCTTCCTTTATATCAGGTATGGTTCTAACCAGTGAAAGGTTTTACTGCTGATTAATCCCTACATCTTAGTGATTTTTAAACTTCCAGAAATAATCAGACGTCTTATTAAACCATTATTGAAATCAAAACAAGTTATCTATTCAGGTAAGCATGCAACAAAACATAAAAGATCTTTGTTCATTTGAATTCAATCTATCACAACAACTACCTTTTCTTTAATGAAGCTCCATATTACTCTGGTCATTTCATCTCCATCCATTTCTACAACTGGGTTCTCTGCTTTGATTCGTTTTTTGGCATCTACAAAAAAAGATAAATTTCTATCACTTACAGAAATTTTCAATATTGAAGGAAGGCAAACCTGGGTGCATCTACATCTGCAGTCCAAAGGAGCTTGTATGTGTGTTTAGAGATATTGGTGAAGCAAGGCGAACAGAACAGCGTGTGAATAAATGGCTCACTGTTTTATTTCACAGCTTGACTAATTTGGTTTTGGTCATTCAAAATTTTAAAATTAGCTTGATCATGAGCCACGTTTCCATAAGACCATAAGAAACTGGAACAGGAGTTGACTGTTCAGCTCCTCCAGCCTGCTCTTCTGTTCAATAGGCTCATGTCTGATCCAACATTTCTCATATCTACTTTTCCCGTAACCCTTGATTTCCCAATTGACTAAGAATCTACCTACCTCAGTCTTAAATATAAGCAAGGGCTCTACCCCCATACCTCCCCATGGCAAAGGGTTCCGAGGAATCTCAACCCTCAGAAAAAAATGCCTCTTCATCTCAGTCTTAAATTAGTGCCCGTTTATTCTGAGACTATGCCCTCTGATCCTAGACTCTCCAATGAGGGGAAACATCCTCTCAGCATTTACCCTGTCAAGTCCCTTAACAATCCTCTATGTTTCAATAAGATTGCCTCTCATTCTTTTAAACTCCAGTGAGTAGAGTCCAAACCTGTTTCGCCTTTGCTCATAAGAAAATCCTTCCACAACAGTGAACATCCAGTGAACATTCACTGATCTGCCTCCAATAAAACAATATTTCCTTAAATAAATGTACAAAAAGTGCTCACAGTACTCTAGATGGGGTCTCACCAGTACCTTGAACAGTTGCAGTAAGAATTCCCTACTCTTATACTCCAACCCCCTTGAAATAAGAGCCAACATTCCATTATCCTTTCTGATTACCTGCTGGACCTGTGTGCTAGCTTTCTGTGTTTCATGTACAAATAGCCCCAAGTCCCTTTCTGCAGGCTTTTTTATCCCCCCATTTCCAATCCAATGTTGAAATTCTAACAGAAATTGCCCCACAAGGTTTGTTGAGTAAAGTTAAATCCATAACTTTACAAACAAGCTAACAAATAAGTCACAAGACATTGACATAGGGAGTGAGGAAGTATTGGAGGTTTAGGTGAGCTTAAATCCCCACATATGGATAAGTTGTATCCCAGACTGCAACAGGAGATGAGGGAGGAAATTCATGGTATTCTGACTCAAATGCTAAGCTCCTCTTTGACCACAGGGAGGTGCCAGAGGACTGGAGGACAATTAATGTGGTTCCACTTTCCAAGAAGGGTGATAGAGATGAACCAGGAAATAAGAGACCAATGAGTTTCACATCAGTGGTGAGGAAATTATTGGAGAAAATTCTGAAAGAGGGAATTCCCACTTGGATAACAGGGTTTGTTCAGGGATATTCAACATGACTCTGTCAGAGGGAAGACATGCCTAACAAATTTGATTTTTTTGGGGAAAATGACCCAAGTCTCTAGATGAGAGTGATGCAGTTTGAATTTATGTAGTTTATATGAATGTTAGCAAGACCTTTGACAAGATTCCCCACGGACGACTGACAAAGAAGGTAGAAGCGCATGGGATCCAGGGTAATTTGGCAAGTTGGATCCAAAATTGGCTTAGTGGTAGGAGACAGAGTCTGGCAGCAGAAGGTTATTTATGTGACTAGAGGCCAGTGAATAGTGGCATACCATAAGGACAAGTGCTAGGTCCTATAGTGTTTCTATACATAAACTTTGTAGATGAGAATGTGGGAGAGAAAAGTGAGTTTCTGGATGACACAAAGATTTGCTGGGTGGTTGACAGGGAAGGAGGTCATCTTGGGTTATAAGTCAAAAATCACACAATACTAGGTTATAGTCCAACAAGTTTATTTGAACACACAAGCTTTTGGTGTGTTGCCCCTTCCTCAGGTGTAACACAGGTGCCCCCACATCATGTCTCAGGTTACAGGACGATATGGACAGATTAGTCAGACAGGCAGATCAGTGGCAGATGGAATTTAAACCTGAAAAGTGTCAGGTGATGAACTTTGGAAGAAGTAACAATGTGAGGGTGTACTCAAATGAATGACAGGACATTAGGAAGCTCAGAGGAACAGAAAGGGCTTGGGGTGCTTGTCCACGGACATCTGAAGCTGGCAGGTTAATAGGGTAGATAAGAAGGCATACAGGACACTTGTCTTTATAGATTATAAGAGCAGGCAGGTAATGTTGGAATAGAATTTTGGTTGGGCCACAGCTGGAGTACTGTGTGCAGCTCTGGTCACCACAGTGTAGGAAGGATGGGAGTGCACCAGAGGAGGCATAAGGGAGATTCACAAGGATGTTGCCTGGGATGGAGGACTTTAGCTATGAATAGAGGCTGGATAAGCTTGGGTTGTTTTCTTTTGAGTAGAGAAGATTGAGGAGTGTGGATCCGATGGAGCTGTGTACAACAATGCAGGTCAGTGTGGATAGAAACAGCTGTTCCCTTTAGTCGAAGGGTCAGCAATAAGGGCAGACTTTAAAGGTGAAATGCAGGAGGTTTGGAGGGGATTTGAGGAAAACCTTATTCACCCAGAAGGTGGTGGGAGTCTGAAGTACACAGCCTGGGATGGTAGTTGAGGCGGGAAACGCCACAATCTTAAATAAAAATTGGATGACCACTTGAAATGTCAATAACATGCAAAGCTATGGGCCAGGTGCTGAAAAGTGGGACTAGTGCAGATATAAAGTAGTTTTGTCTAGCATTGTCAATGGGCTGAATGGCCTGTCTGTACTGTATGGCTCCCAACAAAATCCAATCTAATCCAATGATAACGCCACATAAATGGAAATTTTTTTTTTAATCTAAAGGTATTCCATGCCATACTATACATTTTACATTAGAAACATTTATTTCAGTTCTATTCTATTATACATTACAAGTTTAATGGATGTCAACATTTTAATTTAAAAGGTGCTATGAACGCATTTATAAAAAATACCTGTGTAAGTTCATCACATTAAATAATAGCCTCTTAACAGTACAATTTATATCTCCCATCCCTTTATCCTATGCTGCAAATAACCCATTCAAACCAAAAATCTACTTTAGGAAGGAATTAAACTGAATAGTTCAAATCACTTGAAAAACATTGAGTTCAAACTTACTGACTCTATGTTTAATAGTTGAAATTTCTAATGCCCAAAATAAGATTGTCAGCAAGTTTAAAAATGAAAATTTCACAATGATAATGATATTTACACTGATTAATTGTTATTGAATATCTTCATTAAAAGATGCCTTAAAAACACAGCACTTGATTAGATACTGTGTTCCTGGATAGTTGGAGAGAGTTGACAGCTATATTTGGGCAGTCAAAGCAAACAGCGTGAGAATTTCCCAAGATGCAACGTGTGCAGATGCAGTTTGTGGAGGTGCCCAGAAAGCATCAATACATTTGTGAATTGCAAACGTATGACAATGATTGATAGGAAAGGACACCCTAGTCCTTTCACACTGTTACACAAATGCTAGTTTTACGGATTTGAGGATTTATACTTGTATTAATGTTTCACGGTTTTTTGTCATAGCCAGAAAAGAAATGGGCTTAAAAAGACTACGGTTACCTCGCAAGGCCACTGTCATAAATCCTTCAACAATATCTTCAAAACCCATAACCTCTACCACCTAGATGATCAAGGGCAAAAGATGCATGGAAGCACCACCACCAGCAAGTGCCAGCTAAAGCCAAACACTGTTGTATTAAGCAATGGTTCTGAAAGAGTTAATATTGAAGTTGCATTAGCTCCATTCAAGCTGATGGCGTAGCACAGTCACTGTGTGAAGCATCAGGTCGTCTAACATGAGCTTCTGATAGAGACAGATGTGTCATTTCCTATCCCTGATAGTTGTAATTATGGCTAACTAGTTCAATAATTAAACCTTGTTATGTAAGACAAGTGCCTCTTCTTGTTAAGACTCAAGTGGTTTATCCTCTACCAGTGATAATCAAACAGGCCTAATTGAGAAAGGAGATTGATTGCAACAATCTACCACCAACCACAAGTCACCAGTGGTTGGTCCCTCAGAACCTAATACAACAGACTCCGTCCTGCTCTGGAAATGAATGGCCTCTCATTCACTGTAATTGCGTCAAAGACTTGGAACTCCATTCCTAACCTTTCCCTAGCCTTGCAATCATCCTTGGAACATCTGGACAATAAGCACACCTACGTCAGTCTCCTGCTCATCGACTACAGCTCCACCTTCAACACCATTATCCCCTCCAGACTGATCTCTGGCTCCGCCCTCTGCAACTGGAATCTCAGCTTTCTGACCCACAGACCACAATCAGTGAAGATAGACAACTGCACCTCCTCCAAGATAACATTCATCAGCCCTCCAAGGATGCGCTCTTAGCCCCCTACAGTGCTCCTTGTACACCCATGACTGTGTTGCCAAATTCTGAACGAACACCATCTACATATATGCTGATACACCACCACGGTAGGATGGATATCAAACAATGACAAGTTGAAATACAGAAAAGAGATAAGAGTGCTTGGTGATGTACTGCAATGAGAACAATCCTCTCTCTCAATGTCGGCAAAACTAAAGAACTGATTATTGACTTCAGAAAGAACGGAGGAGAACATGCCCCCATCTACATCAACAGAGCTGAGGTTGAGAGGGTGGACAGCGTCAAGTTCCTAGGAGTGATGATAATGGCCAACCTGTCCTGGACTTCCCACATGTATAAACCCAGATCCACGTAGATGCGACGGTCAAGAAGGCACAACAACGCTCCTCTTCTTCCTCAGGTGGCTCAGGAAATTTGGCCTGTCCACAAGGTCCCTCACCAACTACTACAGATGCACCATTGAAAGCATACTGTCCGGGTGCATAACGGCCTGGCATGGCAACTGCTCTGCCCAGGACCATAAGAAACTACAGAAGGTTGTGGGCACAGCACAGAGCAGCACAGAAACCAACTTCCCATGCATATATTCCATTTACACAGCTCGCTGCCGTGGAAAGG